CAAGCCGACTGGCAATGTAAGGACAAGCAGATGTCCAGCTCCACTGTGATCAGGGCTGGACAGACTTTTCACTGAGGTTGGTGGCCGTGGCTTCTTGTCCTTCCATTTCCACCTTCCCCTCCGGCCCCACACCTCTGGTTCATATTGCTATTAATTATTGCCTGTGGTTCTCATACACTACTTACTTTAATAACAAAGTAGACCTCTTCCCCCGCTGGTTTGGGAGTGCATTTTTCCCTTTCATTTTCCAAGAGCAAGAGCAAGAGCAAGGCCATGGGACCACTTAATCCCTAACCTGGAGATGGGGGCTGGGGGAGGGGTCCCTGAGGCATCAGGAGCAGGTGATCTTGGGAAAGAAAACAAAGAATCTATTAGATGAAGGGAGAGAAGAGGGAGCAGCCAGCACATCTCAAATTCTCATCTGCAATACACCTGGGAGCTGCAAATGGGGATCCAGGAGGTCAGGATGGAGCCAGAGAATCTAGTTCTTACAAGATACACCAGGTGATACTGATCTGATTGGCCCAAGGACCACACTTTGAGTAGCGTATCCTAGGCAACCCGAGGACATGTTCTATTCAGTTTTATACCAAGATGGCATGCACCTGCCCCAGAGAAGATGTGAATAGTTTGTAAATATTCATTGAACTTAACACTATCTGATAGATAGACTGTGGTGAGTGCTTGAATTCGTATCATAGTTCTGCAAGATAGAAAATGTTTTGACTGTAAAAGTGGGGCTAATGCTTTATGCACCAAGAGGCTAAGTTACTTGCTCAAGGCTACACAGTTAATGTGGCAAGTTGTTATTCTCCAAACATACCACGTGTTCCCCTACACCTCTCTAGCCTCCTCTAAAGTTACTTAAAGCTGTTGAACTCATTCCAGGCAATGGCCTGCTGGGGACGGGGCATGCCCCTCTTCTGGCTGAGGCAATTAGGAGCCTCCAGCTCTCTTTGTATTCTGCCATCTGAAACACGTGGGCCCCAAGGTGAGGTGGGCAGGGATGCTGTTCTGCAGACTTCACAGGAGATACATCCATCTTGCTCTATTTAAACCACTTCAGGTTTTAGCTTTGTTGGATCATTCTGACTAGTCTAGGCTCATTATTGATATCAGAGTTCTTTGTGTAACTAGCTTTTTATCTGGGGCCCTCAGGCCCCTAAATGGGTGCATATGCCCAGTGCAGCCTGGATTAACATGGCTAAAGACACCTCTCCAGTGTTTTAATGGTGAGATAAGTGACTTACTGATTCAATAGCTGATACCTATTCTCTGAAACAATTTGCATCAAACAGAAATAGGAAAAGTGACCTACTTTATTCTATGAGAATAGTATAATCTCAATAATAAAACAGTATAAGGACAGCACTTAAAGAGGAGATTACAGACCAGTATCACTTACTTAAAAGATTCTTCGATCTGTAAACTCAGCAGTATATACATATAAATGGTTCATGACAAAGTAGGGTTCATGCCAGGAATAAACTCAACATGAGAAAAATCTATTTAAGTGATACACTACATTAGGGTTTTTAAAAAAGAAGAAAGAGCAATTCAAAATTATATAAACTGAATATATGTAGCTATAAAAACTCAAAGAATTTATGAAAGAGCAGGAATTGCCTTAAGCCAGGTGTCTTCCAAAAACTTATGACAAAAATAGGTTTTTGAAATGGTGAAACTCAACTCTTTTCCAATGTTGATTTCTTTTAAAATGCTAATCTTTTCTCTGCATAGGAAATAAAATGCACCCATTTTAATTTCAATTTCATATCACAGTGGTCAGGACTTTCCTGAAGCCCTTGAGCAGAAGAGGTGGTGGAGCGTTTCCCTGGAGCGCTCTCTGTCCTGCTGCCTGGGGAGTCACTCAGTTGTCTAAAATACTGAATTTGTGTGTGAACCAAATTGTGCTGAACCCGCTTGCATACTGCAGATATGATCTTTCCCACCTTCTTCTGAGCTTTGATTACGAGACCTATAGGTTTTATTATAGTTATTGCAAATTAAGTATTTTCCCCCAAATAAAGGGAACCAATTATAAAATGTTACAGGTCTGGAACAACTTTACATCTTCAAACATATTAACAGAATGAACAGGAACACTATGTTTCCAGTAATGCCAGTTTTCTGCAAATGCATCCAGAATTTCAATTTCTTCCAATGAAAATCTCAGGTTTGACCATCTGACTTAAAAATGCATATGAAAGAGCCAACAGCCAAGAATAGACAAGGCCGTGGATGTACCTTTATGAGACCTGCTGTGGAGATGTCTCCACTTTGTGTACATCTGTGTCAACAGTAAACTACCATCTGAATTAGCTTGAAGCCTCACAGCACAGTGAAATGTAGTGGCACAGAGACCCTGCCATAGGACCCCAAAAATATGAAAACTGGGTGTCTGGGGTTGAGTTAGGGCAGGGAGGAGCCTGGACACCCAGGCAATAGGTATTGGGCCAGCAAGGTGACGATCTGCCTGGAGCTTACTTGTGAGACTGTGGCTCCAATACAATGAAGGCATTTTTTTTTTTTTCACATAGAAAAATATCTGGACCTAGAGCCTTTTGCAAAATATTTCAACAGGTGTAGAGCTGATGGATTATATGTTAATATGCCTACTGTCAAGTCAAAAAAATTATGTTTTTGATATTGAATTTAATAATGAAAGAGTTAGGAAAGGATTTCTAAAATAAAACACAAACACAAAACCAAAAGGAAATTTTCTTTATGGGTTCTTAAGAGTCTATATTTTTTTCCTAAAGTTTAAAAACAAATTTAATAGGAGACTAGACGAAGAATATCAGCAGGTTATTCACAGGAAATCCAAATATCCAATAAACACTTGTAAAGGTACACTACTTCATTAGTAATCCAGGAACTGCACATGAGCCTAATCAAGTACTTCTTCAAGTTTGGCACTTTCAAAGATGAAGTTCCTGCTTCTCCATATCTTCAACAATGCTTCTCAGAATGTTCAATTTCACAGCTCTCAGGTGGCAAGTTGCTTTCCGTGTGGACAACTACCATTTATACTTCTCCAACATGTGTGCTGGGCATCATCCCTGCTGCTGCTCCTCTGTATACTCTTATGGGGGCGCCGAGTAGCCCCTTCCCGAGACTGTGATTGGGAGTGGGCATCTGTGCATTGCTTCTTAGCTGTGCAGGATCCTCTCCTCTTGCTCTTGTCTTAGTGATGGAGATGCTCAAGTGGTCCAGATGGTGCAGTTACGAGAAGGGACCCTCTATAAGCCCAGGTCCCTAACAGATGAGGGGAGCTGAGTCCCCTCATCCATCTGTGTTGGACATATAGTGTGAATGAGAAATAAGAATCTGTTTGACCAAGTAGGATTGGAAAATAAATGATACTCTTAAAGTCCGCTGAGCAACACCAGTTCTCTAGGGCAAAGACCTAGAAATAGGGCTGCTGGGGCACTAATACAGAAAGCTGGCAGAGAACTGGCATTTCTTGAACGTTACTCAAACCCAGCCTAGCACACCCTAGCTTCAGATTCATAAATAAAGTCCAGTGCTTCCTGTCAAGATGCTCAGACATCACACCAAGTGCCCTGGTATTTACAGTTTGCTTCCCCTTCTCCCGTGCGGTTTAGCATGGCAGCCATCAGGAATGTGGATACTCGAAATTGGCTGGGGTTACAGAGAAACTAGATCTTAGTTTTAAAATTAAAGCAATGTAAAATATCTTCCTGTTACACACTTGATTTAACCAAGGATTGTTGTAGGATTGCTTTTTATTGTAATTGAAAGATTTAACATTAAAACTGAAACATGTCAGGGTAAAATACATGCCAGGTTTTATATTGCTAAAAAAAAAGTGTATTGGGTCAAATCGGTCTTATTAAAGTTCACACCTGTTCTTTTTGGTGTGATGGCAGGTGGCACAGACTGGCTTGCACTGTGTTCCTATTGGACAGGGCTGCTCTGCACCAAGTCTACATTCCTTGGCATGGAGTCTCATGCCAGTAAGGTCGCCTGGGGCCGGCACCTTAAGGCAATGGTGGCAAGTGGAGCTGTGACCATAAAGAGCTCTGCACATAGCAAACAGGGCCTTGTGGATGTGAGAGGAACCACAGTGCTCCTGCCCAACACTGTCCTAGATGTCCCTTCCTCCATCCCCAAGGAAAGCTGGTGAATTGGAGCTATTCTGAATCCTCCCGAGATGAAGCTTTCTTATCACTGCACTTCTTAGATGTCCTGCCTCTCAGTCCTTTCTGCCCGTTCTCTGTTCCGTTCACCACAATGAGCCTGCCTGGTAGTCCAAGCCTAAACAGACCCCTCTCCAGGCTGCCAAAGCCTCATGGGATCGCTACACTCTTCCCCAGAACCCTTGTCAAAGGCGACAACACTATGGCAGGGTCCTACAGGACCCAGGATGACGACTCATTTCAGCTCACACAAACACCACTGGACCAGATTGCTGAAACGAAGCAAAGCAGCCCTCCTGTCCTCCTCAGGCTCTGCTGACATTTCCTGTCCCTTGACTGGGACCTGGGAGTAAGACAGGAACATTAAGAACACTCTTCAAATATCCTAATTGCCCTTCTTCCCAAGTATGTGTGGATTCAGGTACAGGGGTCAGGTATGTCTGGACAGGTGACTCAACCGTGCAGACACTCCCAGGGCCAGTGGGCTCAGGGACTTCCACCCGTGCCCCTTGACTTGAGAGGCCAGACATGTGAGGGGGTGAAGTGTGCAGATTCCTTCTCTGCCAAGCCACTGGGCATGGTAGGAAAACTGCCTCTCCCCTCCCACCACCATCCAAACCACATCACTTGAAATTTAAGACAAAACACAACAAAGTCACCGGCTTCACCTCAGGGTATGCACGAATAACCAGCAGTGCCCGATTCCAAGCACTCGGTGGAATTCAAAGCTCTTGGGCTGTACAGATTGATTCCTTCACCTCATGTAATCCAGACAGGCATCATAGACAGGCTGTGCAATGGCCACCTTGCTTAACATGTAAAATCAAGGGCAGAGAAAATGGTACAGTTGCTTTATTTAACAAAACTTACTCCGACTTCTCTATCTATATACAAATGTGTTTCAAAACCAGAGCAGCAGACACACAAACAGTTAACCCAGGAATTATAATAATGCTTAACTTGTTATACAAAGTTTTGTTTTCCGATCAAATAGACATTCACGGATTCAAAAGGTGGAGCAGCATCACGTCTTTATTTTTTGGGATGGCTTAGAGAAGTCCTAAAGAAAGAGCAATGGGGCTTTCGAGGCTTAGTACCTTGTGTTCAGTTCAGCTCTGTGTAAGGGCTCACCAAATGTTTTGGACTGGGGATAAAAATTTGAATAAAATATAATCTGTTAGGAGCATATTTAGTGTTTTTGTTTTGTTTTTTACATTTTTACTCTATTTGCCTATAACAAATATAACAAGTTTGCCTATTTCTGGTCCCCAAAAGTAAAAAAGCCTACTTTAAAAAATAAGTTTAAAATAATTTTATTAGTACTATTAATAAAATGTAGTGACTGGAGATCCTTCAAAATCAAGGGAAAGAGTATTCAACACTGTCCTGCCCACTCCCTCCAATTTTGTTAGAAACTTGTTTATCTCATGACATTTACCTACATGTTAATAAGCTATTTTCTAAAGCTATTTAGGGAAGACAGCCACTTTTGTTTCCCCTTTTCTATGAATTCTAGGAACACTTTGAACTCCTTAAGTACGTAGTTCCAAATGTCCCGAAAAGGTCTGCTACATATTCTACTCACAAAATTCAACTCCACACAAGTACTCGACTTGTGGCTTAGATAATACTTGAACAACAGTCAGTGCTGTCAAAGGTCAATATTTCACGTGAACACTTAATACTCTGAGCAGATAGATCCAGGGCTAGCTCTTGGCTGGCCCTTTCAGGAAGAAGCTACTAAGTGGTGAGGTATCGAAGATAAAAGTAAAAGTCACAGCATTTTCTTCCCTTCTCTCCACATTTTAGGTTTCTTTACGCTAGAGGTGTGTACGGTGTAACATGGATAAGGTTTCAGAATGCTCTTATGTGATGCTGGTTCACATAAGCCACTTACCACAAAGCACCAAATAAAAAAAGACTAACAACTAAATGTCATAATAAAATGATTCACAGGGGTGTCCACTCCTGTTTGTTCATATAAATTAGATCCTATCACATACTGTGCTTTCATTTTCTAAAAATGAGATCAAACCATTATAAAAATGTACTTCCAAAATAAATTATTTCTAGAATATAAAAATGTTTTACATTTTCCCAGCCCACATATCATTATAAAATAGGAAATCAGAAAATTAGCTATTGCAACTTCCATGTGGTAAAAAATATTTATATGTGTACACACACATATATACACATATATAAAAAATGCAAGTTTTAAATTCCAATAAAAATTAGCCAATTAATCAACTTAATGATCATGTATTGAATTATACCTAAGAAATGCTGATTATCTATGAGAACAAACTTCAGAGGAGTACAATCCCACATATGAGACTTTCCCATGTGGGAAAAATCAGGAAGTCTCCATTAACAACCTGGTAAGTCAGAAATCCCTGGTGTCCTTTCCAGATGTACTGCCCCAGTTCCACTCTGCACTGTTAACCCCCCTGAGGCAGGCCCTTCCTGAAGGGGAAGGGTCATTACTGCACCATCTGTGTCCTGCCTGAAGGTCAGCTCTCCGCCTGGGCATGAGAGGACTAAAATCCAGCCATGGGGGATGTTTACCTGAAAGCCAGGCTTATGCAAGGGCGGGGCTGCTCCTAATGTGTGCAAAGGTGCTTTGCAGCTCAGGCACAGTGCAGGCATCTGTGGGTAGAAGGACTGATCTTCTCCCAGGAGAGGTGAGCAAGAGAACACGTGTGGAGAAGACAGATGGGGGCAGATTGTTGCAGTGAAAACCAGGGAGTGTCTGCTACCACCTTGACAAACACAAGTGTGTAATGGGGGGGGGGGGTCCCTTCCATTTTGGTGATTCCTGACAGCTTCTACTAAGTTTCATGAGGAAAAACTGTGCCTCTTCAGAAAAAATGGCCAAAGAGAGTAAGGTCTGACCTTGGAGAGGTGTCCCTAACTCCAATGATCCAGGACAGCAGGCAGCATGCACCCCGTCTCAGGACGAGTTCCCAAGTGAACACTTCGCCCCTTCCCAAGGTACTTCCCCAGTCACCCTGAGCTGTCATCCCAGGGTCCACCTCTGCTGTAAGAAGCCACTCCCTTCACCTTTGAACTGGTCACTTAATTTATGCTTGTGGGAGTTTTAAGGGGACTTGACTTTAGATCTTTTCCTTCATAAAATCCCCCCTCCCCCAGAAGGCACATTCCCTATCCAATTGTTACAATTCAGGATTTTTAAAAGAAAGCAAAAGCTAACACTTGGAAATATTTGCTTTTGTTTCATAATGCCTGTTGTTGAAATAGTAAATGCAGGCAAACCCTTAGAACTGTTCTTTAAAATAGACAACATGAGCACAACTCCACAACACATACACACTCAAGAGTACTACAGAGTGGGGAGGGGTTAAAAAGAATGCCATTCCCACTATCCTTTTTTTTTGCAGTGCTGATGATGGAAGCCAGGGTCTTGTGCACCACTGAGCTATACTCCCAGGACCAATATGTCAACTTTTTAAAAAATAAATTTAAAACAAGTAATACAGTAGAAAATATAATTCTCATTATGTACCAAATATTCAGGAGAGGAGTTAAAGCAGAAACAAAGTGGAAATGCACACCGAAACGTAGATTTAATTCTTCAGTAGCATTTATATAAGGAGCAGGTGTAAATTATTTTAAACTTGCTCCTCCTAACTGGAATATGAAAGATTTGTATCTACTCAGAAAAATGGATACTAAACAATGAGAGGTCTTAGATCCCACTGAAAATCTGTTGAGAACTTCACATCCTTTCTCCAGAAAAATGCATGTACATCCATTTGTGCGCGCACAATTTCAGGGGCTTTAAATACCTCCCAGAGTCCAGACATGTCCTGGGGAAGAATCAACATTTCCACAGGGATCTGAAGAATCCATAACCCTCATCCCCCTAGACTGCATTTCTCCTATTGAATCTGGGGGAATCATCCCCCAAACAGAAAAATTAAAAAGAAAAGCAAATCACTTCAAAGACCACTCTTTCCTCATTTGCCCTTGGAAGAAAGAACATCCCAGTCTCTAGTTGCCTCTATCAAATGCCGCTGGCCATGACTCATCCACTCTTCCTGGTCCTCATACAGCCGCCCACAAAACCAGCACTTGAATATACACTGGGACGAATCATCGGGCAAGGAGTCCACCACCTGGTAGTTGTTTTTATGAACCTTTTTCAGTTTCATTTTCAACATCATTTGCCTTTTGAGCAGATTGGCATCCTCCACGTTCTGGTAGGTCAGTCGCATGTGCTGCCGTCGAATGCCAAGCTGACACCTTGTCCTTTCTGATAAAACCACCTTGAGGACGTTGCCCTTGTACTTATTGATCACCTTCATCACATTGGTCACTTCTGGTGAGTCCACATCAGGATGATTTAGCACGATGACTGGCTGGTTCCGACGGGGGCATTTAATCAACTGATCTGGTTTGGCGGCCATCAGTCGGAGCTGTCTGGCAACCTGAAAAACGGAAGGATCCTTGAGGCAGCGGTTGGCATTGGCCTGAAGTTTGCTTTTCTTCTTGGATGAATTCACTTGCCTGGTTTTATTCCTACTCATTGGAAGACTCCTGGACAGCAGTCTCCCTGGCCTCCTCAGGTCACTACAGCCATGCTGTCCAGGCCCAGGGCCAGTTTTCTTAGGGATGGCGCTACACATAGCATCCTCTTTTCTTGGTTTAGGCCGAAGAGCTGTCTCGAGACCTGGGGACATGTCGACTGGCCCACTGTCACTGGTCAAAGGCTGCAAGTCTGAGTCTGTCTGTTTCATGGGGCAGTAAGGAGCTGGTTTTGGTAACTGTGCTTTGCTGCAAGGTATGCCGACAGGTGCGTCGCAGGTAGCCTCTATGATGTGGGCATCCTCAGAGGAGTTGAGAACCCTCAACACGGCCCCTTTGGGGATCAGCACTGGAGTGGCCACATGAGCCTTCCTGGTCCCTCTGCTTTCAGTGTTCCCCTCACTGCCATTAGCAAACTGTGGATAGACCTGCTGATGAGCAAGCTGTCCACTACCAGTGACATCATCTTCATTCTGAGGTGTCTGGAGGGGACCTGTGGAAGTGCCTGGGCCAGGAAGTGACAAGTTAATGTCCTGAATGCCTTCAGGTGTTGCTTTGGAGGTTCCCTTTGACGTGGACCGACCCCGTGCACTATTTGCAGACAAAGACGAAGGCTTGCCACAGGACTCAATCAGCTGGGCGATCTTTCTGCGTAAGAGTTCAATTGACTTTATTTTGGATGTTGAACTATTCCACTTAATGCCCTCTGGGACATTTTCAGACCCAGAGCTCAGAGAAAATACTGATGAGATGACAGGGCCCTCGGAAGTCTCACTGGTCCTTTCAGAATTCTTCAATTCCCCAGGGTCGCCTCTAGGCTCAGATCTAGTTCCGTCTTCCCCTCTGGTCATATCTGTGTATAAATACTCACTCTCCTGTGAAGGGGAGGTCTGGCTTAGATCTGAAGCTGCCTTGTCCTCTGCCTGGTCACCTTCCAGCTTCCCAGGAGAGGAAGCCATTTTAGCAGGAACATTGCTCTGACTTCCAGGTTCCAAGTCACTCTGACTGACTGCAGGTAGTAAGCCCTGTTCCCCAAAGAAGGAAGTGGCTGGAGGTGTCAGAGCCAGATGAAATAACGGCTGAGAGTCACTGTGCACATTTCTTCCATCTTTTGTGAAAGAATCGGCAGCTTTAGAAGGAAAAGGGTCTGAAGCAGCTCTGAGACCACACATGGCACCACTTTTCATGACAGAGGCTGGAGAGTGACCTTTTAAGGAGGTAAAAGGAAGAGCGGTCCTATGTGAATACAAATCATTCCTTGTCTGCAAATCCTCGACCCCATCAGAACTGAGAAGGTGTTCCCTGTGATCGTGCACACGGGAGCCAGACACAAGATCACAAGACCTCACCCACTTCACATCTTTCAGTTGTCTCTGAACTGAAGACCGAAGGTTATCTACACCTACAAGTCTTCCAGTGTTCCCTTCTATTGCTAGTGACTTTATATTTTCTGCAGAAAATACATTTTCTGGCTCCTTTGAACACTTCTCTTTAGTCACATGCTCTGGATCGCCTCCATCGCCACTGCCAGCTTCCAGGTGACTCTTTTCCTCCAGTGGAAACAGTTTGAGAAGGAGCTGCTGTGTGCCGTTGACAACCTTCACGTCCATCAACTGGGCTAAACAGTTTGCAGGGACAACTAGCTCCGCCGGGGCCACGACCGTCAGTGGCACACCGGGTTGAACGGGTTCCTTTGAAGGAGATAACACTTCCACCTCAACGCTTTTGTTCTCAAACAGACCAACTTCATTTGGCTCGGGTAAGGTCATTTGATTGGGAATACACACAACATCTTTCTGGTATTCCTTTGATTCAGGTAGCAATAGGATATTGTGAATTTTGTCTTTATTAGCATGAAGAGAGAATCTTGAGAGCTGATCCGACAACCTGTTCTGAAATGCGGTCCTTAGGCTAGGGGCCTTTAAGAGCTCTATGTTCTGTCTGGAAATGCTAGTTCTTTTTGGGTCCAGCTTGGTGGCAGTTTTGAGAGGTCTCTTAGCACCAGCCCTCTCGTGGACTCTCTTCCTGTGCTTGACAATGTAGTCATTTCTAATAGCACCATAGTCACAGTACTCACACTGATAAGGGAATATGCCCGTGTGCTTCACCAGGTGCCTCTGAAACTCCCCCTTTGTGTAGGAGACGTAGCTGCAGTGGGAGCAGATGAATCTGATCTCCTCGTGCTGCAGCGTGTGCTTCCTGTGCTGCAGCGGGTCCTTGGTGGAAAACCGGCACTTATCACAGTAGTATTTGCCTGGCTTAAAGTTCCTCACCTTGAATTTGTTATTGATGGGACTCGAGATGGCTTCGGTTTTGTTTCCAACATGAGTGGCCCTGGGATCCCCATTCATGAAGTGAAAATGGGGAGGAGCCGTCTGAAGGCTGCATGGGAGGCAGACATATCCGTCTTCCGTTTGGCCTTGCCCAGGACCCTTCTTCAAATCTTGAAGAGGGACTTTGTGAACACTTCTGCACTTTGCACATGTTGCAATAGTCATCATGGCAGCCTCCGCCTCCGAGCCCTGATACAAAAGGGCCTGTGCTTCTTGTCTGTCTGGCCGAGTTGCTCTGTTAGAATTAGGGTGTTTGGGTGACAGGGTCAAGGAGTTATGTGTGCCATTCATTGGGGTAGCGTACGAAGGCTCTCCAATATCCTTCATCTTCTTTATCTGCATTTCTAGAAAGAGCGGACTGAAATTCAGAAAGAGTTCACATGACAAAATCCTTCGGAGGCACCCTGCAGCACACTGTGCTTGGTGGCGGGTAGGTACTTCACAACTTTTCTTTGGTACACTGCCACTGTAGGAGCATGCTCCAAAATATGACTGCTGTCAATCTTCTGACATTCCAGGCAACACTATAGGAAAACAAAAATCACAAAGCATGATCAATATAAGAATTCAAGGTTTGCTTAAGCCATTATCAAAGTTACTCTACATTTTAATGGCCTTGGGAATCTGATGGTAAATCTCAATATGTGATCTTACATGTGTGTTAAAGTAACACTCCGCATAACAGAGCTGGCAGCCGAGTTGATATTGAACACATTTTCAAACTAGGCCCCCACAAATCACCACGTTAGGCTATGAATGCAGGACACTTGCAGGAAGGACTTTATAGCAGCCATTAGAAGAGCCTTTGATCAGTGAAACTTATTTTTAATTGTTATTAAGAAGCAGTTTTTCAGGTTTAATGTCATATTAGCCTCCCCAAATCTTCATCCCGGACTTTTTCAGTTTGATTTTTGAATATGTGAATCACCCAGGTGGAGCCAGGGCTCCTCTCAGTCCTCATCAGTTTGGACGCCAGCTCTTGCTCACACAGCCAATCTGCCAGTGACACAGACAACATTGTGAAGACAAAAATTACTCCTTCAACATCTTACTGAGCATCTGTCAAGGGCCAGGCATTATTCTGAGTGCTGCAGGGCAGTGGACCAAGGCGGACTGGTCCCTATGCTCAGGTGCACGATGACAGAGGACAAGCCAAGCCTGTACTCACTGTCAAGCAGAAGGGGGAGAACTGGGTAGGAAACACGGTAAGCCAAGGCGAGGAAAGACCTGGCCTTGGGATGAGTGACCTAGGTGTAGAGTAGAGACCTAGGTGACTGGGGTGTGACCCCTACGTGTGTCCTGGAAAAGTCTCCACAGAAAAGACAAAGGTCGCTGGAAAGTGGGCATGGTGCACTTGAGGAAGGAGGGAGGAGTGGGCAGCTGCCAACATGGTCAGAGGGACAGGGGACTAGCTGAGGAAAGCTGTATGACGGGTTTCACAAGACAGGGGCTTTTCCTCTGCCTGAGATGGAGGACCAGGTGAGGCCTGGAGCAGCGGCATGACATCTGATTTATGCTCCAACAGTCTCTAGCCGCCATGAGGCCAAGACTCTACAGGAGACAAGACGATGGCAGTGGAGAGACATGGACGGCTTGGGTTGGGCAGCAGGAGTGGCCGGTGTTTCCCAGAGCAAGGATCCTTCGACACTCATATTCTACATGTTACTCAGGGACTAATTTTCAACTCATCTTTAATGGCACTTATTTTTTTCAAAGTATACAGAACCAGAAGCTTGACAGAAACCATTCTTGCCAGAAGCCTTTCTTTTATGATCTTAGAAAACCACTTAAATCTCTGGAGTTCAAACTGTCATCTGGTCATTAGAATTAAGAATGCCGATCCAGCATCACCCACAGAGCTGCTGTGATAACTAAGACACTAAAGCCTTTCTCCAAGTGCCAGGAGGCACAGAGGACCTCAGGTCTCTTCCATGGTGGGCAATATGAGTGTCGGTCAGTAGCCCAGGGCCATTAGGCCAAGATCCACACAAAGGTAGTGGGAAAGTGCTTTCTGTAGGGTGAGAAGAAGCAACTGCTACGCATTCAGACCTAACATGAAACTTGCCCTTTGAAAACAGCTTTGAAAAGCAACAGAAGAACGTATAGTGTACAATAATAAGCCCTATTTTCTCCTGCAGTGTTCTCTCCCTATTCTGCTGTGAAAGATAGTGACCTTCTTTCAAAAGCAATTTCCAGTGTGCAGTCAAACCCTGATGGCATCTAGAGACTCCAGCCCTGTCCAGCCTTGCGTGCACATGGCATCCAGGCAGCTAGTGGACAGAGGCCTGGGGCTGAAAGATGCTGTCCCTCTTCTCCACCTACAGTAGGGCACCATTGCTTGGGAGGAGACACATGAAATGCCCTGAGCTGGCAACACATGACACAGGAGGGACACATACCTTCTAGTCTACTGCACTCCTGGTGCAGACCACAGGCTCCTCTTCAGGAGTCACTAGAGATGAGTGCACTTTATTTTCCAGATCTATAAACTAGGTTCAGTGAAGGGAGTTAGAAGGGACACAATGAACTTCTAGGTGGCCTCAGGTGAATTACCCATCTGTAGCTGCTCGTTCATTTATATAACACAAGGCTGGGCCATGTGATTTCTAAGACCAGTCTGATATCGCTGACCCTTGAAATCTGACTTGACCACACAAGAACCCTACATCTGTATGTTCATGCCAACATTCTTAGCCAGCTAAACCAAGCGCCACAGCTGCACTTAGAACCCCAGTGAACCACAGGCCCAAAGGATGCAGAGGCTGAAGTCAGGTGATAGAAGGATGAGGTCCCTAGGTTTCTGCATTCTGAAGGAGCCTTAGAATCACAGCAAAGACACTCTCCTGGGCTGCAACCATTGGCTAGGGAATCCCAGGCTCTGGGGAGAGGGCAGGGGAAGAGGCACCTGGTGTGGAAAGCCATTTCAGGTAAAGCTGATGTGAAGCCGATATTGGAAATCACCAGTTAAAGTGTCCAGCGACACTTCACCTTAAAACTTCCCCACCACTGACCATGCGTCAAGCTCCTCCTTCGTTAGGCAGCGGATTTTGCTTTTCACCTAGTTTTCATTGTTAACAATTTATCCTAAATGAAACAGGAACTGGCTTCCTTGTAACTTTCTTCCATCTTGACACTGGAGCTGCAAAAAAAAAACAACTTAATCACTCTTAATAGACCACCTAATAATCTGCACATCTCTTATCTAGTAGTCCTTGATTCTTAATTCTGTCCCAAAGGTTTGAATACCAATCAATACGTAAAATCTCTTCTGTCATCTACCAGCCTCATAATCCAGAGAGAGACTAAATTACTTAACCTAGCACAACTTGCTCATCAACTGTTTCAACATATAATTCTCAAAAGTCACATGCCAACATTCCTTTTTTTTTTTTTTGAAGAATTGTTCAACCCAGGATTACATTTGCACATTTTCAGTTTTTCAGCGTCTTTCTCAGCCTCCACGATTTTTAAAAAAATCAAGAAATGGTGTTTTGCCACTTTTCTTTCCAATCTTTTAAAAACTTAGAGGGTGTTATTCTTCCTGAAACTTGAGAACAGACTGGACTGCAAGATCATGACCATCAGCAAGAAGTGGACAGCAACTGGAAAGAAGTCCCCAGAGAATCAGGCTGGTTCTGATGCCTGAGAAACACACACTTTTTTTTTGAGGCACCTCTGCAAAAATATCTAAGCAGCTGTGTGTGCGCCTCAACTTATGGTAGGGCTATATCCCAATAAACCCACTGTAAATCGAAAACATTGTAAGTGAAAAATGCATTTAATCCGCCAAACCTACTGCACGTCAGAGCTTAGCCTAACCTGCCTTCAATGTGTTCAGAACCATTACCTAGGTCTACAGTTGGCAAACCACCCAGCACAAAGACTATCAGATATTCATGCATTGAACACCTCATGTTATTTATTGACTATAGTGGCTATCGAATATGGTGTTGGTCATTACACTTGCGGTTGCATGGCCTATTAGGAGTTCACTGCCTCTGCCCTGCATCATAATACCATTGTATTGCACATCACTAGCCTGGGAAGAGAACAAAATTCAAAATTAGGAGCATAATTTCTACTGAGTGCATGTTGCTTTAATAACAAAATCATGAGTAGAACCATCATAGGTTAAACACCATCTATATTCTGAACTGAGAATCCATAGGAGCAACTGATAATATGAAGCACGAATCTATGACCTGCAGTTTCATGGGGGAAGCAGGGAATCTGGCCATGAGTGCACTGTCAACTGTTTGACAGCATCTTTCTTGGCTTCTAAACTATTTCCAAAATAAATTAGTATTACTACTTTGCAATTTTCCTCATTCTTGGTGGAAAAGATGGGAGGTTCCTTCAATACAAAGTTCCTTTTGGCCTTTGCAAATCTATGGCTAGTTGCAGCAGAGTGTGGCCCATGGAATAGCTCAGATGTAATACTTTAAGATAAAGGTAAATGCACAGAGCAGCAGGGAACCACAAAGTGGCCAAGATATTGGTATTTGCATATGAATACTCCTGAGAGCTCCCAAACCCCAGTTCTTTGCATACAAAGTCCTCTATCCAAATACAACCACCAGAGAGGCTGAGTCTTCTGGATAAGTAATTGCTCAGTGGGCTGATAACAGAGGATTATATAAACACAGTAGATAAAGATTTGTGCATGGGTGCACTGGATGCTGAGGGCACTCAAGAAAACACCACACTAAATCAGTGTCGGAGTTCACAGACTTTCCCAACTCACCCAGCCTTACAGAAGCCCTGCACTTGACTTCCTGGGACTAGAAACATACTTTTATTTTTCTCTTTCATATAATTTAGAAGTGCTCTCAAAAACACAGAAATAATAGTCTTGTTATCATTATGGCACAAAATGTCCCTACCATTTAGATGCCTGTTTGGTATAAGCTATTCAAGCAGCAGAAGTGAGCTTTTCAATACAGAGTTACCTACAGCAAAACCCCGCATGACAGCCATGCAGGAGAGAAGCAGCCCTCTGCCTAAGAAGCCTGCTGTCTGCACTGTCTTGTCCTCCTCAAAGGAAAGGCTTGGGAGGAGGCCTAACACTCTCTCGCACTGTGTGTGTGTGTGTGTGTGTGTGTGTGTAGGAGGTTCCTCTTCTTCATTTTTGAGCTTACTCGTCCTGATTTCCAAAATACTTATTATGGGGACACGAGGGAAAAATCGCTGAGTTTGGAAGAAACCAGTTAAGTGATACTAAGGATTATAAAATGTGCAAGATTGTATAAGTTCTTACTAAAAATGAAGCATCTGACTTCTAAATGCTGGAAGTGACTCATGCTCAACAGAATTAGCAGAGAAATAAGAGGTAAAATCATGTTTAAAGCTATAGATTCTGCAAAGAGACTACAGGGTTTAAAATCATAGGATTTCCTAGATGTGAGGCCTGGGCAAACTGATTCCTTACCAGGAGAGCAGACATCAGCAGGACCCCCACCCCCAGGGCAGTCATGAGGACACAGGGTGAGGTGGTGAGGGAAAGTGCCTGGATAAGTTATGGGCACACTTTAAGTTGTTAAATCTATTACTTTCTATTGTTTTAATGAAGAAATTTTGCCAATCCTAAGAGGGGCTAAATTACAGGCTTCTTAGCTGCCTAACAATTGCTCTTTCCAGAATATACACTGAATTTCATTTTATAATTTTAATCACAATTGTTTGATTGTACAGATTAAAATAGTTTACATCTAGGGCAAGACCCCCTGTTAGTTTTAGTGGCAAAGGCTACCAGCTGCATACAATCTCCACAGAACTCGCACTCACAGAGCTTTGGGTGTGAGCTGGTTACTGACCTGCCTTCTCCAGCCTGCCCCTTGAAGCACAGCCACACCGTGAGAGCCCTGTAGCAGGAAGGTACCTCTGAGCTGGATGTTAGCGTGAAAAAGAAGAAGAGTGGCAGGCCTATTATATCACCTACATTTTCGTGCACAAACGGTGTCCAACAAACTCAGAGCTAGTAGGCTGGCTGCTGGCATCCTCTGTGGATGAGAAGCCAATGGAAGCAACTCTTTTCAGGCATTCTGACTTAGAAACTCTGTCTCACTGTGGCTCCCACCACATCCCTCACTGGGGCAGGGGTACAGCTGATATGCCCATGAAAAGCACAGGAATGGGGCTGGAAGGTCTAGGGTTCAAACTCTGGTCCTGTCCTGTATTCGCTGGGTGTCTAGACAAGTGATTCCTCTCTATTTGTTGCAAGGAAACAGCTTTACCACCCTCAAACTTAAAGGGCTATTAGGAGTAGACACTCGTAAGGTATGTAAAGTCCCCAGCCCAATGGCACAGCCACTCAAAAACTGTACCTGAGTGTTCCTTTGTCTCTTTGGCTATAAAAAGGCTCATCTTACTAGTTTTTCCCAGTGACCCAAATTTTAACACAATTTTACCCTAAGTGCCCAGAAGATGTAGAAGAGCGACATCGGATAAGGGTAAAAAAGAAAGAAATCCGACATTTGCCATGTTAACTGGACATACTTCCTCAGTAGGATATTTGGGAAGAAACTGTTGCCTCAGCAAGAGCTTTTTCTGACCATTACAACAAATCAGAATTGAATTGAATGGATAAATAGATCTCAACAGGAAAAAATAACAATTAAGCATTGCAATCTTTATGCCAAACTACCTCACACTTAGAAATGACTGAACTGCAAACTGGGTGCCATCCTGATGGCCAAAAATTACTTCTAGAGGTTGCCAACAAACATGCCTCCCTCGGGACCTGACATTTCCTTCTGAAACTGTAGTGCATGGACAACAGACGGGGAGGAAGGCTGCAGGAGACGGTTCCTCTGTTCTCCAGATGAATGCAGCTTGGTGTAACCCCGGAAAGCGTAATGACCCCGGAGAGCAGGACAAAGTCCAAAATCTAGGTCTTGACACTAGTTGTGATTTCATACTGGTTAAGCTGGGCCTGGGTACTCTTACTTGTAAACTGGAAGGAAGAAATGCCTAACTGTCGTGGTGCTGCCAGGTACATGCAGGTGGCTTTATGCTGGGCAGAGATATTTTATCATAAAATAAGTCAACGTATATTTGTTAAGGTTCTTTCCACCGTAGGAGAAGGCAGTAAGGTCCAGAGAAGCAGAGATTAGCAAGCTTAACAAATGAGCCTAATGGAACAAAGGTCCACACCCACCCAAGCTAGGATCCTCAATCCTGTCTACAGAGTTCTTTGGGGATGACTTGGCCCAGCTAGGCACATCAACTGAATCAATATTAGGAAACAGAGGAATTTTAAGGCTTCTCTCCCTTCAACAATTTGAGAGAAAAACCTTTCAAAAGAAAGTGACTAATGCTAATGTCCATGAAGTTTAAAGCTTATTGTTTTATATATGAAAAAAAAAACATGCTAAGGAGTAAATCTATATTAGCATTAAGTATATATAGAAGATAAGGAAAAGGAGTACTGCAAGCAATATCACAAGATTCCACATTAAAGAAGATTCCAAGTGACTTTGGATGCTCTTAATGATGCTAAAAATGTACACACAGATTTTTGGTTATTTCCATTATTTTTTTTTTTTTTTTTTGCCTCTGGAAAAATACCCAAAATTTTGCAGAAAAAAATGAGTTAGGAGTTTAATTAAAAGTATAATCAAACAGAGACAAAATCTCCTCCTCCATTAGTGGTTCTTACCTTGGCTATGTAAAGGTGAACCTTGTCAGGACATGCCCAGGATGTTTAAGGAGGTCCCTGGAACAGTGGGTTACCTATTGCACACTGGAGTTACCTGGGGGCTTTAACAAGGATGCCTGGGCCCTAACCTCCCAAGACTCCAGTTTAACTGGAAGGGGCTGAGGGCAAGGGGCAGTCCAGACACTGAGGTTTGTAAAGCTTCCCAGGTGATTCCAATATGCAGCTGAGGTTGAGAACCACCTGGCCCTCCAGGGGGGCAGGTGCACAGAGAAGTGCACGGAATAATGACACCCTGGATAGTACTTTATACTGGAGGCAAGGCTAAGCCACTGCCTTGGGACTGTAATGGAGTGACTAGACAGGAGGTCTCAGGGTTCTACCCTGCCTCGCCATGTGACCTTGGTATGTCACTGATTTTAAGGTGGGTAATGCCACAATCTACTTTGCAGGTTCTCAGAAACTTGAATGTTCCTGGTAGTGCCTGGCATGGTATGACAACAATGAGCACAGAGCAGATGATCTGATCCCCACACCCACCATGGGCTGCTGTGCCTAAGGAGTGTGACAGAAGATGGGAGAAGAAGATGGGTAGTTTCAGTGAGGATCCCTACATCAGGGATCTGAACAGGTGTGCTCAGTGGCTGGCTGCTTGTCAATCCTGGAGCACCATGGCTCAGGTGAGGTAGAAGAGGTGCCTGCAGAAGCAGGTTCATGTTACCTGGGTACTCTTCAAAGCAAGCCTTCACGTACCTGCTTCTTCCAACAGCAAAGGTCTGCAGAAAGTATGAGGCTTTGCTAAGGCCACAGGGTTGGAGATCAACTGCTGCCAAAGGGTGTCAAATCTAAATTGCTTTCCATTACCCTGCCGTGTCAAGCTGTAAACTGAAGTTGCAGCCAGGATCTCCTGCCACTTGAGTACTGTTCTTACTTCCTGCCTGGAGCTACAGACAAGAGTCAAAATGTTGCAAGGCTCAAGGGCTCTTCCTTCCCTTTCAGGCGTCCTTCTCTTCTCAAGCACCGAGGGCCACTGGTCTCAAAGCTTCCGGCCCTGAGTAGGCGTCTACGCTTAGGCTCAGAACCCTGGGTTCCACAGCTGCCTGCAACAGAAGCCAGACACTTGGATTTACGTCCTGGAGCTGCAAATCCTTGGTTTCTTGGGCACTTTTCTCCTAGAAAATAGCAGGAATGAGCTCCAGGAGTGCCTCTCAGACACTGGTGTGTGTAGCAGTCACTTGGGAGCTCAAATAAAGAGAGGAGTCCCAAGATTCATGTGACCTAATGCATCAGATGGCTCTTTTCCAAGGGTGGGGCCCAGGCATGGGGTTTAAAATTCTTCCCAGGTGATTTTTAAGCTACCTACCCCCTTCCCATGATGGGAGAGTCTGAATTAAATGATCCAGCTGCTTTTACTTTAAGAATGAACCCTGGAAATTATAGTGGGCTGGGTTCGAATATGTGAACCAAAAATGCAGTAGATTACAGGCAATGTGAGAACAATTGAAGACTGGGAAAATCCTCACTGGTGAGGCCCCTTTACCATAACCAGCATCAGTGGGTTGGCCATAGAAGGCACTCAATACAACCGGATGAAAGAATGAGGGAATGAATGAAAGCAACGCCTTCCTAGTGACAATCATAAAATGTTCTTTGTTCTTCCTCTCACACAAACACTAGCCCAGATCCTCTTACTTAAAAGGCAAATAGAGCAGGAGAGACAGAAGTGTGATTTTTTTTTTTAATGGTTGTTACTGGGTTTTTAAAATCTACATTAGTTTAGGGTAACATGTCAGGGAGGAGTCCCAATAAAAGAATGCTCTCCTTTGTTCTTTTCAAAGCACACTTGTAATGAATGTTACAGCATACAAAAGTGTCATTTTTCAAGGTTACTATATTAGACTCAAAATAGAAAGTAAGCAAAAAATTCATCCTTGGTTAAAAATATCACAATTTAAAAATTGGAATGATCTATTTGTATTCTACTTAAAGAAACCATATAACATTGGGTTCTAAACCATATTTTCTGACTTGCAATAATACCCTTGGCCTGTATCTGTCATGGTGTACAATCATGGGTTGGGTTGAACTTTGCACAGGTGACTCAGAAGGACTGGGAGACATTCCCATGCTCCTTCATTGCTCTTCTATAGTCAGGTACTGCAGGTTTCTGGAGGCCACAATTTTCTTCCAAGGTGATTTCAATTCTAAACTTGCAGGACAATGTTCTAAGGACTCCAACACAATATTACAGTTTAGCAGGTAGGCTTCTATTTTTAAAGAGAACAAAGTACTTGGTATTTCACTTTTTATTTTGTAATGTTACTCTGACAAATCATTCATTATCCTAGTTTTAAAAACCAGGGGCATTTTAAGGGGATATATTAAATACCAGCCTACATGCAGGGGTTAAATGTCCTCTTCTAAGGCTTTCTTTTCTTGGTTACCAAATGTTCATTCTTTCGCATCCTTCTCTTGGCCTTTTTAAACTGACCCCAAACCCCAAGCCAACAAGGGGGGGAAAAAAGGCGGGCTGGGATGCAAAGGGCCCACAGAATGACACCAGGTTTGGGGGACAATTCAAAGCTTCCTCCGGCGTAGACCCCTCCGCTATGCTCCCCCACCTCATGCATGGGTCCTCCACCGACAGGGCCTTTCCGACAGGACACCCTCTCCGACCCTCCAAGGAAAGACAATGAGGTCTGGTTCTCAAGTTTATTGTTGGCACGCTCTCACCGACGGCACCCTGATCCGAGGCCAGTCCACGTTGCACAGCGTGGCGCGAGGAAGGGAGGCGCAGGGACAGAGAGACTCCCTCGTCCTGTACCAGGGGCCGTCCGGGTCCCCTCGAGGGGTCACCGGGCGATCTTCTAGCTACTGAAGACCAAAGAACGTCAACGCCGGCCTCTGAGGCCCGCAGGAGGCTTTAAAAATGGCCTCTTACACACTTCCTGCTCGAGCGACCGGTAGGGATCCTCGCAGGCTGCATCATTTAAAACCTGGGGGCGGGGACCCGCGGCCCGGCGGCCACACCGCCGCCAGCTCCGTTCTCCGCGCCGGTCCCCACCCGCCAGCCCGCGGGCGGCGGCACAAAGGCGGGCGGAGGGCCAGGGAGGGGGCGCGACCCCCGGCGCGCTTTGACCCAGGTCCCCGCCGCCGTCCCCGCCCCGGCCGCGGCCTGTCACTCGCTGGCGGGAGCCCTGGCGGCGCCCCCTGACCCCGGCCCCCGCGGGGTGCCTGCGGGGGTGGGGAGGGCGCGCGGCCCCGGTGCAGGCCGGGGGTGGGGACACCCTCCCGGGGGCCGCGGGCCTCCACACGCGGGCGCCCGCCGGGTCCTCGTCAGGCCCCCTGCCCCGCGCTGCTTCGAGTCCCGGTCCGCGCCTGCCCCGCGTACCTGGCCGGGGCCCTTCCCTCCCGGTCAGCCACTCACCCGGCGGCCAGTCCGGGGTCCGGGTCCTTACCCAGGGGTGTCTACACCGCCAGCGTCCGGCGCTGCTGCCGCCGCCGCCGCACCCGCTGTAGGTTCCTACCCGGGGGGGCGGAGCCGGGACAGCGCGCGTGCGCAGTGCGGTGGCTGCGGTGGCAAGGCCAGCACCAGAGGTCCCTAAGTCTGCGCCGCCCCTTGGCTTTGAGATGCCCAGGGCCTGAGCTCTCTACCTCGCCTCGGTGGCTTCTGGGCCCTGCTTTGGACTTAACACCGAACCGGGGGCATTGGCATCCACAGCGCGCAATGTCCACACTGAGGGAGCACATCAGCAGTTTCCTCTGCGAAAGGAGAACTCCTTTCACCTCCTCTGGTAGCCCAGCAGACAGACGTTGGTGAGAGCCTGCGAGGGTCCTGGGTCCTGAGGAGTGGAGCTGGGCCCCTGCCCGCACGGAGCGTTTAGTCCTGCCACAGGTGAGCAAAAGCGAGAGCACAGGAGCTCAGGTCCTCAGCCCCCAGCTTCTACCTTCTTGCAGAGAAGAGAAGATAGGGAGGAAAATGTCACATGCAGCAGTGAAGGGGATGGCCCCGGAGTCCTGGATTCGAATGCCACGCCTGTCATCCTAGCCATTGCCCTTGGACCTGGAGGTCCCATGACTTCTCTTAAGTCTCGAGGTTTTCGTTTCTGTTGCGAGGCTCAGAGTAGATCACGACTGTGGGAGAGACTGATGGTGTGAGCTCATTTAGCGCCAACAATTTTTCCCTCTCCGCCTAGACTACAGTACTCTTTTCAGGGAACCAGCTACTGCTCACATAAGGTATGAATCTAGGGTCTTCAGGAAGAAAGATGTATCCTCTCTGAGTAAAGAAAGGAACCATATGGACAGGGCACCCTAATCAGTGATCCCAATGTAGCTCCCCTCAAAATAAAACTGCTCTCCAGAAAATAAAACTGCCCCCCTAGCAAGGGAAGATTGTGGCAGGGTGGCATCCTCACTGGGAAAGGTGTGTTTCCACGTCCTGATAGGGGCTGGACACCAGCCTTGCCCTTCATCCTATCTATTGGCTGCGGAGGTCAGAGTGCCTGGACCTGGGCAGTATACTGCACAGAAGACTTGCAGGGTTGCAATATTTCCCAGGATTCCCAGCACACAGAAGTGGAGTTCAGGAAGAAAGCGCCAGCCAAGAGGCCAAGACCTTCTACCCTGAAACAACAGAAGCCTGGCAGAAAGAATGTTGATCCTAGAGGTGGTGCTCCCCTCCCCTGAGAAGTATCCTCTTGAACTGCTCTGATCAGGGAGCTACTAGACTCCTGTGCTGTGTCTCCTAGGGCTTAAAGAAGCAAATGGACCCCTTCTTAGACAAATACATTGAGGTGTAGAGTTCAGAGTTTCCCCCAAGAGGAGGATAGGTTAAGAAGGACATTGAGAATAACAACTGTCCACTGAGAAGCTCAGCTGTCAGAAGGAGGCAAATTAGAAAAACTAGTTAGTTCTATGGATTGCAGAATCAATCAGAAGTCTTAAGATTTAGAGAAAAAATTCCTTTACTGTTAGCCCAAATTGTCTGTCCTTGTAACTTCCATTCTGTCCTCTTTAGTCACATGGAATTGATGAAAGGTCACCTGTGGTTTCCTCCAAGTTTCTCTGGAGTCAGAGCTGTTATAAAGCCCAGCTTTGGTGGTTGGAAGCTGCAAGTCTGCAACCCTAACCTGGCTGAACCTCAGTTTCTCAGTCAACAGCAGACCTTCCTATAGTAGGGTTGAACAGCTGGACCTTCCTCACACCAGGTTGCCAATGTTTAGTGAAAGAGAAAGCAGGTAAGGACTCATCACAGTCTCCTGCAGATAAGATGAGACTAAAAACTAACATATTTTTCAGAAGCCCAGATATAGTGAGATAAAATGGTTTGCAAAGGGTCTGGAAACTGGATGTTCACAGCCTGTAAACCAAGCAGGGAAAGAAACCACTCCTGCAGAAGCCTTTAAGGTTCATGTGTCGTGCTCCAAAAATCTTTTGATGGAAAGGCAGTTCATCCAGAAATGTGAAACTCTGCACACTGCCCTCCTTCCCCATTCTCTAGTATAGTTTGCCTAAGTTCTTTTTCAGTGTTCTCTGGTCATTTCTGACATGGATTGAATAATGTTCCCCAGAAAGATATGTTAAAGTCCTGAGCCCATGAATATGACCTGTTGTGGGGAGAGTGTTGGGGGAGAAAGAAAGAAAACAAATATATTTGCAGATGTAATCAAGTTAAGAGGCCATTAGGGTGGGGTCCTTACCCAATATAAACAGGGTCCTTATAAAAAGAGAAGAGATGGAGGAGACTGCCACATGAAGACAGAGAGGAAGGACAGCACTGAATACAGAGGTGGACACTGGAGTTGCACAGCCACAGAGCAAGAAACACAGAGGTGATTAGAAGCTGGGCAACCAGTCTGGATTCGCCCATGACTTTTGGAGGGCGTATGACCATGTTGACTCCTCAATTTCAGCTTTCTGGCCTTGGAAATGCAGGACGATAGATATCTGTTAATTATGACAAGACTAAGAATCCTCCTAGTTACAACTGCCTAAGATGCAGGAGAAAAGCGAGAAGATGTGAAAGCAACCAGTCATGTAGTGGAAGGACTGAGAGCTGCCATTCATTTTCTTGTGCATCTAAACTCATTGCTTTTGAGCACCTATGGAGTCAGGCACAGGCTGGGGATTAAGGGTGGAGTGAGGAACAGGATAATGCCAGCCCTCAGGGAGCATTCATTTTATTGGCGAGTTTTTAGATCACAAACCTGTGAAGGGATATATGATCAATATTCAGGAGTGCTACATGCCAGGGAGAAGATAAAATGGGGCAGTGCGATGTGGAAGGGAGAGAAACCTAGATGGTGGAAGGCTCCCTCAAGGGGCCTTGGAGATGAGATCACACAGATGGAAAGGAGCTTTCTGCAAGGGGTGGGGCAAGTCCACAGGCGGAGAGACCAGCAGAATTTGGGCATGCTGGCAGAGGAGAAGGAAGGGCTGGATTTAGGTCACCCTAGGCACTTAAGCACTGTGTGACCTTTGGAAGTCCTTTGTTGAATTCTGCTAGAAGAAACTTGTGGCTTGGAGGAAAGTCTCCATGAATCTTCTAAGATGGTCCTTTCTCTGCACCTCCCTGCACACCACACCACCCTGTTTTGTTTTTCCTATTGGCCTCAAGCACTGACCAACATTAATTATATTACTTGACCAGAACCCCACTGGCTCTTGGAAAAGGGTCAGGTCTCTTATACCAGGCCAGGATTCTTGCACTAGCATTGGGAGGTACAGACTGTAATTCTCAGACATTTTATTTATGAACAGAAGACCCAAGAAAGTGACATTTTTTTCTTTAAAAATTTTTCGGAAATTTCCACTAACTTCCTCGAGCCTCAATTTACTCATCTGTGTAAGAGGGATTACCGCCCCTTTGCCCAGGGTCCCCAAAGTGGTATATGACCTTCTGGATACTCAAACAGCCCTCCTTGAAGTACTAGGGCGCAGGGAGTGAAGGCTGTAGAGTCCGAATTTCCTTACTCATCTTGCCCAGCTGTGTGACCTTTAGCAAGTTACTGCCTTCTCTGAGATGCTTTTCTCAAGTGTAAAACAGGAGTAACCAGAGCAGCCTTTCGGGGAGGTTTCCAGGGCGCAGGTGCATGGACCATTCCCCCGACTGCGCTGTCTCTTTGATGGTGCCTTTCTGCGGGCGCCCTGCACCACGCCTCAAAGAGCTTGGTGGGGCTGGTTCCAAGCTACAAACCATTCACTGGGCATGCGCGGCTGGTAGAGCCTCGAATGCAAGAGCGCTGCGGTGCTCCGGGCGGCCGGTGGCGTCGCTGAGGGCGGGGCCTCTGCAGGGTGTGTAGATCTCTACCAGCTCCGACCGCGGGGCGCCGGCTCCTGGGGCGCCTGCGCCTCTGGCCGCTGGCCGCCACTGTCGCCGCCCCTAGCTACCCGCTTTCGTTTCGCTTATGCTTGGGGAGCGAAGCATTGGTCGGGGACTAGACTCTGGGCTTGCAAAATAACCTAGGACTCCGCAGGGTGCTGTGCACGCCTGGTGAGCGCCCTGATGCTCTCCTGACCTAGATTGCCCTGGGGCTGAAGGGCTCCAGGCGAGATCACAATCCCCCCACCCTCCAATTTCTCACACTTAAATAAACACTCTTTGCCGCCTCTGGGATGCAAGCTCCACCAAGGATCTGTTTTGTTCATCTTGGAGGCCTCGGGGTCTAGCGCAGTGCCTGGTACGGAAAGGGCCAGCTCCCAGCCCACTCTTGGGCCGCCGCAGAGCCGCCAGCATCCCTGCCTAGACCGGGGCTATGCAAAGTGTGGTGGGAACTGCAACCATTCCCAGACTGACTCAGGAGGGGAGAGGACACAAAGGCTGAGTGCGCATTTAGAAACTCACAGTAGAGGAATTCGGCGGGGCAGAGTCAAACTCGGGGTGGCAGCTTCTGGCTAGGGTCGCACAGATGCATGTAGGGCCAAAAATGACTGGGGTTGGGGGAAAACCTGGTCCTTCCTTAGGTGGCTCTAGGATGCACCGCCCCCCGCCAACCTGTGGTCTTCTCTTGCTGCACTACTATTCTCCTCTCATCCATACTACTGAAGCCAGATTTAAAGATAGGTTGTTAGTGTAGT